ATATATCAAATATATCTGACATTTAGATCTGCAATATGCTGCGCCACGTTCGCCAATCCAATCCTGTTACAGTATTGTGATTTTGATGCTTCATTTCCGCTGATTGGAATAGACTTGAGACGGGCATTTAGTTCAGCTATAAGATGTTTAAGTATCGTCCAGGAAGAATCATCTTCCAGATCTTTGATCCCGCAAGTGAAAGGCGGAAAGACAGATAATGAAGGGTCCTCTGATTTACAGAGTTCGTAAAGCTGGCACACTTTTAGGAAAGTCCAATCTGAAAAAGCTTTTGAGGGTGTTTCTATGAATACGGTAAACTTGAGATTGTTCTTTGATATGAATATGCAGAGCATCTCACGAAGGTCTTGATCATTATGAGGGAAGTATTTCTCTCCATCATTCATTAAGTTGAGTTCCGCCTCATCATTTTCAAGTGCGGGTGGTTGATACATCTTGTGTATATATTCCTTGAGGCCTTCGAGGGTCGCATGTTCGATATTTGCAGTCCACTTATTTGGCTTCCGTTTTGGGTGAACAACGACGTCGAAGTCTACAATGTAGCATCAGTTAGAAAATTCTCACAAAGTCTCTCTTCTGACTATTTTATATATATCATGTGTGGACTTGTTGAGTAATGCCTGCAACGAGGCGACTTCCTCTCTTAATTTCAACACCTCTGAAGTGGCGGTGGACTCTGGCGGTTCGACTATGACATAAATATTCCTCTTAGGCAGTTTCTCAGTCCAGTAGTCTCCAATTTCTCTTGTTGCAAGAAGTTCATCCCCGTCATTGAGTGTGTGAGATTGCTTAAGAGATCGTCCTGATCGTTAGGGATCTTCACCTTCCATAGCTTGAGCCTGTCTGCAGGAAAATTGTCGAACTCTGATGCCTTTTCTGCCTTAATAGCTTTCTTGAGTTCACTAACGGGTTCGTTCCTGCTTATTTTAACAGAGAAGGCGTTCGCTAGAATATTTCCTTTAATGAGACATAGTAAAGTGATAGACATATTTTCGGCAGGATATATGAGGCCTTTGCAATAGAAAGGGAGGAAACTCAAAAAAAAATAAAAAATGAGTTAATAATAAATCTGAACAAATTATAGTATTTAGAACATTTTTGGCTTATAAACTAAAATTTTAATTTTTTTGGAGTTTCCTCCCTTTCTATTGCAAAGACCCCATATGTGAGAAATTATTCTGTTTCACAAGCCTGCCGTATGATCAGCCACATTGCATCATAGGTGCAACAATTGCCTAATCACTGCGCCTCCCTAACCGTGAAGACTCTTCTCACTTATCACCTGACGTTTTTTATATAGGCTAGTGGCTAGATTAGTTCGAATAAAATGTTTGATATTGTGGCCAGATCATTATATGTGATAATGTACTAGTAAAAATAATACTTTATTTATGAAATAAAAAACGTTGCCAGAAGTCGGCCTATATTACATAAAATTGCGAATATACTTCGTGGCTAAGGCCTATCGCTATTACATGATGTTTTAAATAAATACATAAATATTAATTCTATCATTAGGTGGTCGTTGGGGGAAATAGTTAGAAATCAACTTGTGTGGAAGCATTTCTGTTTCATTTAGACGTTCTTCACGAGCATATTCACCAATTTGACTTTCAATTGATGTATCTCCCCTGGTATCATTGATCTTCCAGAGTAAAAACTCGGCAGGAGGAATATTTTCAAATAAGGATGGCCACCTTTCTCTAATCATAATCCTTAACTGATCAACTGTTTCGTCGGTAGAGATTTTAAGCGTAGTAATACTTCCTTCTGATAAATTTGATCTTAGAGTTGTGTCACGAGATAAAAGAAGACAATTAAGAGTAATAATAGTATCAAACATCTTGTTTTCCTAAATATAAGACCCATAGTGAGAAAAACTCGCTCCCATATATACATAATTTAGCCAAAAGCGCTTCGCAGGGCATATATATACCTTATTTTGCATTATTTTTTACGGGAAAGTTTTTGCGGAAAGTTAGCTGAACTTCCACATACCTCTACATGCTTTATATCTTGCTGGGAAAAAAGATAAGGAGGTATATGACGTAATTAGTATTGTCGTCTGATACTAAGAGTTCCATGAAGACACATGCAAATGGAATCCTCATACCTTTTCACATGTAGATCTACCCTGCAAGACATATAGTTGGCTTTACGTCTGACGATCTCGAAATTGTGACTCCCTCAGCCTTTCATAATATATGCTTTTGTCGTCAATATTTACTTTTAGAGCTGGTCCTATATTGCAACTAGACCCCCTTTCACATTTTCTCACATTCGTTTGGGAAAAAAATAAAGAATAAAGGTTAATATGTTTTTCGAATATACAAAAATTATTATGTCGCATAAGACCTGACTGATAATCGGCCTATTTTTGTCGCACAATCTGTGGCCCAGCAAAAATCTTCCGAGCTGATGATCATGAGAATCACCTCACGGCCCGCTCCGGACTAGCTAGATTGGTAAAGTACGGTACCATTCTGATTGATTGGCTAGTATTCTATCACCAGCTTTCGACATTAAGGTGAAAATATTATCTCGAGTCGGTGAATGTCTGTTCATAGCTATAATGTGGTGATCGTTACCAGAGTCAACCGTCATGAAACTAAGATGCTGGTATAACTGAGGTAGAACTGAATTCAGATTATTACTAACACTATGCTGAATGTTATATATCCGTCCTATCTCTTGATCTAATTCAGCACGCATATCCATAGAATTCATGAAATCCTCAATATAGATATTTGGATTAAGTAAAACGAGCTGATCTATGGATTCTTTAGTAATATTAGCATACCCCTCCAGATTAAGATATTTTAAATAAAGACACGAACGAGAAATTTTTTTGATAGTTATATCAGTAATTCCACAAAAACTAAGGTTGAGATGTTGGAGATTTGGACAGGAATGAATAGCATTGCAAATTGAAGTCTCGGTGACGTAAACATACCTACCAAAATCAAGATACTCTACACTAAAATGTTTCTCTACATTAAGGTGTTTCTCTACAGTAAGAAGTTTTTCTACTAATATATCATATCTATTTTTTCTTCGACAGCTACCCAGAATACTGAATCTTTGTAAATTTGGACATGAGTTTAAGATATGACTTATAAATCTTTCAGAAATCAAATGCGTACAAGCAAAATGAAACTCTTGTAAAGCTTGGTAACTGTCCGCAATTTTGATTAAAGATCTATCAGTAATGCCTTG